TCTTGATGTTGGCAGAGCACACACAGGTTATTGGGCATTTCTAAAGAATTCCTTTTAATCATTATATCCATGGTTGGAAGTTCATTGTGAATTAGTCTGGTCTTAAATGTTCTGCTCCCTGTTGCTTTGAAAGAGGTATTGAGGGATCCTTTGTCTCTGTTGAAATCCCAAAGGCCTTTCCAATCGAATTTTTCAGGGTTTTGGATTTCTTTCTTCTATCTTTGCTGGATTCGATTTTGTGATGTCCATTGTATAAGGATTTCCTTCTCATTGTACTCCTTGAGAAATGTTCTAGTTGAAGTGTCGATAGGAATCTTGTTCCATTCTGGGACTGTGATGGGAACTATTGAGGATAGGGGCTTCCATTGAACTTCTGTTTCCTCTTTAGCCTTCTTAGCCAGCTGGTCTACCTGATTGTTGTTAAAGTCTTTGCTGTATGCTTTGACCTTAATGAGCTTCAGATGTAACCTTTTCTTGAATATTATATTAGCCAACCTTGACCACAGTTGCCAGTTTGATCTTTTCATCTGTTTTCTTAGTGTGTCCTTGGGATGTGGCTTGATTATGGCTGAATAGGCATTTATACAGAAAGAGCTGTCTGTTCTTATTTCTACTGTACTGTTATTTGATACTGATAATGTTGCTAAGATAATTGCTACCAATTCCGCTTTAGTTGAAAAAGGCCAATTATCTACAGCTGCTTGGAATGATCTTCCCGGATTAGGTCCTTCAGTTTGTATCCATGCTGCCCCCATTCTTAAGGACTGGTCTTGTATGCATCCTAATGATCCATTAGTATAAAACTGATAAGAGCCTGTATACTCTTGGTTTACATTGAGGTGGTATTCTTTACATAGCAGGTTACAGAGATCTCCTGCTAGTAAATTGTCCTGAATGATTTGCTTGCCATAGTCTTCCACTTCTATGAATTGGAGTTCAAATCCGAGAGTCTCTTGTGGATGTGCTTTTTCCATTTTGGCTTTGACCAGGTTTTCTAATGTATGCACATCTACTGGAATGATTGGTTTCTTGCTTCATCTATATTTCTTAATATTGTTGATCCAGGCAAATGAAAGTGTATGATTCTCTTTACTGTTTCTGTTGATTGGTTGTATCCTGATAAACTCTATTGTTCCTGGAAGTCTTCTCGAGCAGATTTGGTAATGTTCTATCTCTCTGCTGTTGCTTGCTCATGTACTTTTCTTTCTGGTCCAGTAGAGTTCTTTGTTGACATTATTTATACTCACTTGCCAGTTCCATCTTCTTGGATCAGCTGGCTTTTCTGTTGAGAAGAGCATTCTATCTTGTGGTATCCAGTTGTATCTGGTCCAGGCTGTTTTCAATACACCAAATTCGTTTGCCAATATCTGCTTTACCATTTGAAACCAACTTGGATCTGGTCCCCGTCCATGGCCTCGAGGGTCTTGGATTAGTTTCCAGTTTAGTAGCGTATTCGATTCCTTGTCTATGAGCTGGTCCACAAACATGAGTTGTATTTTCTCAATGAGGTAGTTGCCTTGTCATACATTCTGAGATTATTTAGCAAGGTTTTAATTGTGATATGTCTTCCTTTCCATTGAAATATGTCTTTCCAATATGAGTCTGAGAAAGTGATATCCAATTTATTGGCCATCTTAAGTGTTTGAGCTAAGAAGTTTTTCTTGTATGGATTGTGAGAGGTGTTGTCCGAAAGTATGTTTGCTGGCTCCCAGTGCTTTATTTGTGCTTGCTTGAGACGAATAAGGATCGATATATCAGCTTGATCTGTATTGTTGAGTCGGCTTGTGAAGCAAGTGATTTGGCTTTCTATTTGAATCTTATGGATACTTTTGAGTCTGTAGATGGCCTTATGGTGTATAGTTGTGTTTGGCATTGTCCTTGTGATCTTGGCAATTTGTTTGAATGTTTTTCTGAGTTGGACTGAGAGAAGGTTACTTGAGTGCATGCTTATGGAGCTGTGCTGCATTCTGTATTCAATCCTTGGTATTAGAACTCTGTTGACAATATATTCCACATGCCTATCCGTGATCAGCTTTTTTCCCAGGCTAGGGAGGATTGCTTGGATCTCTTGTTGGATTCTATTAATTGTATCTTTGGTCTGATCTTTATTGCCTAACCAGATGCCTAGAAATCTTGTATGGCTCTTGCGATCCAGCTCTCTCACTTCCTCTTGATTAGTTCCCATGTAGACTTTGTTAGGTTCTTTGGATGGACTGTTAATTGTGATTAGAATTGACTTGTCTCCGTTTATTTGTGAGTCGTTCGCAGCATAAAATTCTTTTGCCCTTTCCAAGATACAATTCATGTCCTTCTTAGATCTGGCTATCCAGGTAATGTCATCCATGTAAGCTATTGCTGCCTGTCTAATTGAGAGCTTTCTTGAAACCTCTGGGTCACTTATGGACTTGCTAAAGTTTGTTATCCATGAGCAATTCATTGTATAGCCTACCCTCTGATTTTCTTGTATTTCACAGAGTAGTGGGTCGTAAAAGATTTTTCAGAGCAATGGTGAAATAGTTTCTCCTTGATCTATGCCATCACCTGCTATGATTTCTTTGGTGATACCCACGTCTGTAATTACCTTAATTGTCCTTTGCGTAAAGGGATCTAATAGCAGTTTAATAATTTTGTTTGGAACTTTGATTCTTTGGAGTGCCCTTTCTAACATTTCCAAGCTGACTGTGTCATATGCTTTTGCTGTGTCTTGGAAAAGGATCCAGAGTTCCTTTTTTTTCTCTCTTGCTTCTTCACAGATATTGTTTAGCAGATGAATCGGTTCTGAGGTACTTTTGTCTAGAAGTCCTGCGAAGTTGGGTCCTTTTAATATTCTGTGTTTCTTGCAAATGAGTGCTAGGCAGTTGTTAAGAATCTTGATAAAGCATTTGCGTGTTGTTTCCAGCAGAATTATAGGCCTGGTATTGTTGAGTTCCCCTTGCAACTCTTTCCCTTTGGAGATTGGATATAAAAGGCTGCTCTTTTAGAATGTTGGTGTTATTCCAAAGCTAAAGAAGATGTTGAACAGGTTGAGAAGGGTCTTCTTTGCTTTGGGGCCTAGTTTTTTGAGCATTTTGTATTTTATTTTCGATGGTCCTGCTGCTTTGTCGTTGGGCAGATCCTGGAGAATATCTTCCAGTTTACTTAGTTGAATTTCTTTTTCTATGGTACTGTACCATTCCTCTTGGATGTTAGGCTTGGGTTTGTATTTTTGAACTGATTAATTAATATATAAAAAAATATAAATAAGATATATATTTTTTATATATTTTATATTATACAATATTTAATGCAATTGGATATAATAAAAAAGCAAAATACTAAAATATTATCTTATTAGAAGTGATTTAAAATCTTTTTCTTTTTCTTTTATATTAATTTTTTTTTTAAAAATTAAAGAAAATTCTTATTAAATTGATAATTGATTTAAAAGGATTTTTATTTATTAGTACAAATCTTTTTTTATTTATTTATTTTTTATTTTTTAGAATCATAAGATTGTATTAAAATAACAATTTAAATGTAAACTAATTTTAATATTTTAAAACTAAGATTTTGATATTTAATTTTTAAAAAAAGCAACTTTATTATTTTTTATAATTATATCTAAAGTTCTAAAATTTGAAAAGTCTAAGATAGTTAATATTATACAGTAATAACTTAATAAATCTATTTTTTTGTTAATAAATAACTAGATTATATAGGTAATATAGTGATTTTGATATTAAAAATTTAAGAATTATATACAAATTCACAAATAACTTATTGACAAGTATTATGCTATGAAAAAATAGTTTAATTTTAGTATAATATCATATTGTATATTGTATTATTATTTCCTACAAATGGATTAATAAATATATAACAGTTTAATTGGAATAAAAATAAAAAAAATTAAAAAATACGTTTATTAAAATTTAAAATTTTGATTTAAAAATATTAATTCATATAACTTTAATTTAATCTAAAATTCAATATATTATTTTCTTTATTAATAACCAAATAAATAAATAATAATTTAATATTTAGCATTTATGATAAATTATTACAAAAAAAAAGTGAAAAATTATGATTAATAGTAAATTATATAAAGAAATTACGACTTGTCTACAGTATAAAAAGTATAAAAGCCGAAAATATAATTTTCTTTTATTTAGATGGTATATTTTCAAACAATTTATTATACAAATGGTTTATTAAAATTTATTAAAATTATTTTTAACTGTTATAAAAAAATACGTGTAATTATTAATTAATTTTAAAGCTAATAACTATACATGTTTGAACAAACAAAAAGCTATTAGTCTAGCTTCATTAGTATAGATCGATTAAATATTGTGAATGTTACTAATGTAGATTGAAAAAAAAAAAAAAGAAATGTATTGATTAAAAAATCATGAATACGTTTTAATTAGAAATTATCTCTCGATTTTCGATTTTATTTGTTATTCTAATTTGGTTCTGAAAGTCCACACCAAAACCATTCACTTCGTCATCACTACTATTCACTCTATTGTATTTATCCTTTTCCAATATCGTCTCTTGAAGATCATTATTTTTCATAGTCTTCGTGTGATCAGCTACTCCATGTTTATTTTCTATTTTAATATTGCTCGGTACCACCAAAGAAGCATCATGTCCCCTTACTAAAGCTATACTCGTCTCTGAGTTGAGAACAGACAAATCTTCATCTTGATCAGCTCGGCTCTTTTCTTTTTCGTAGTCCTTATTTAATGGTATATCGAATTTAATTTTGCTAAGACCATCATCTTCGGATGTTGATTTACTACGGAAAGTTTGTTGATTCTTCTCTTTATTGATAACAATTCCATCGTCATTGCCTTCGGAAATACTTCTGGGTTTTGACTGGCGATGATGTAATGATATATCTGATAATTCATCTTTTTTAGGCTCATACTTGTTGATCTTTTTAAGTGTAGGCCAAGTTGGTGGAAGTGGAAGTGGCGGGGGTCTTCCAACAGTTGACGAAAGAGGCAATGGCGGTGGCGTTTTTCTTTTAACTTGAGATCTTAGAATAGGAGATTTTGGTATTGTCGAAGTAGGTGTGATTGATGGAGAAATTGGCGGTATTTTTAATGTACCCTCGGTAGGAACCGGTGATGACGCATTTTCAACAGAATTTGTGTGTTGTGAAGATAAATGAGTCATTGGAGTTGAAGAAAAAATTGGGGTTGATGGCGTTGAGGGGGGGAGGGGTGGCAACGAGGAGGGTGAAATCGGTGATGATTGAGGCGTTGACGGATTAACGCTTTGAGGTTCAGATGGAGTTAATTGAAAAGTTTGAGATGATGATGAGTCGTGATTTTTCACTTCCTCCAGAAACGTTTGCGTCGAAGATGTTTGCGGATATAATTGTGATGTAGCCTGTCTCAACTCATCAAATAAGCTTGAACCTGTTGGTTGAGGTGTGATTGGTCTTGATGGAGGAAACTGTGGAGTTGATGGAGTCGACGGTAGAGGCGTAGAAGGTGAAATATATGTATTGGAATATGAATTTGGAGTTAGAGG